GTAGTAGAAACCCTCCCCCCGCATACACTGAAGAAGCTCTAAGGAAAAGTGGAAAGAAGAAACAGTCTCTTCTTCCCTTTCAGCAGCTAGAGGGGAGCAGTAAGTTTCAGCCACCTTTTATCAAAAGCTGCTGTGATAGCAAGGCTCAGGGACAGCAACCAGACTCAAGTCTCAAAAGCTGTGTGTGACCATTCATTGCTCCTGGACATCACTTGTAAAGTCCCCACCCTCATCTTTCATATCTATCTCTGGCGCGCAGTCACCTGGTTTTCCAAGTGTATCTATTAATTTTGGAATACCAATAGTAATTTCTGGTTCAGAAACTGGTATGGAAGAGACCTCCATTTTTCCTTTTGTACCACCCTCAGATTTGAATCTGAAGTCGTTATTGAAACTTCAGCTTGAGTGTGACGCTTTAAAATTTGCATGTTGACTGTATAATTTTGTATTTTGTTCTTATAAATTTAAACATAAGCCATAATCTAAACAAGTAACTAGATTACTGAAAATTTGTAATATCCATCACCACCTTGTTTAAAAGCTTTTTTTAAATTGCTGATTAACTTCAGTAGACAAGAGATCTAATTTATGTTGTCAATCCCATATCAGGAATTCTATGCACAGATCCTGCTGTTTCCTAATTTTTGGTTCCTGGCTACTACTTATAACAAGGCATTCTGGGATTTTACTTTCACTGCTTTCTTACCACTGACCCTATAAAGTTATCTCCTGTTCAGACTTGTCTGATTACATCTGTTGTACATTAACTTACCAGTATGTTGAAAATCTTGGCCCATGAACACTAAATTCTCCAAGTGTGTTCCATCAGATGAGACAACCGCTTTTACTCAAATTTGTTTTTACATTACCTTTATTAAATAATTGACAAGCTTCCCCTCTATTCTCATTTTATTTCCAGAATATGTTTGTGTTGGTTTAATCCATTTTACCTTTCTAAAATCTAAACCCTGAAGCAAAATTAAATACTGAAGTTCAAACATGGCATTCTAAAGGTCCAAAAATAAGTGAACACAATTGATATTAATAATGAAGGATATCTGATAAGATGCACATGCCTAAGACATGCAAATATAAAAACAGCACAACATTCATGAAGTTTCTCTCTTACATATTTTCGTTTATAAAAAAAATGTGGCCTCTTCTAACTGGGTGGCATTTTACATTTCCAACGGTAATTGAGTGAACATGTTGCCATGGTAACAATGGAACAGTGCAATAATTTTGTTGCCTTGTAATTGCTGGATATTTGTATACAAGCAGCTGAGCTTTCTTAATTCAATGCCCCCTCAAATCTTTCAGGCAGACTCTGGAGCTACAACAGCATCTTTTAATGTGAAAACTCTAAAACAACTTCTGATCTTTCAACCACTATTAGAATTCAAAGCAATGACAGGCCACATTACAAAAAAGAAATCCTGTCAAGAATCAGGCTACATAAACTTTTGTGTTCCTCAGCTTTTTTTAAATATTGCCCTTTTTAAGAGCTCTCATTTAGATAGATAACTTCCGGTAACTTTTGGCCACAATCGAAGGCACTGACAGTAGTGAACACCGCACAAGTCACTTTTATTGATGCTATGTAACAGCAGTAAATCCAGATGTACTCTGATGCCTTTCTTCAATAAGAGTGAAACTCACCTTAGGTACAGAGTGCAAATACAAGGCTCTCTACATGACTTAAATCTCGCATTGAGGCTATGCAGAAAGTAAAATACAGGCATCTCTACACTAGCCCATATAGACAGATGTGGATGAGGTGAGACCAGAGGATCCATACTGTGACTGAGTGACCCCAATACACAACTACTACATTCTCAGTGTCTTGATTCCAGGTTGGTGGGTGACTTTTGCCTGCCCAATCCACCCACACTTCTCTCACAGACAGCTCAGTTACTTGTGAAATAAACTTCCATAAACTCCCCCCTAAAATATTAGGCAAATCTACAGTAATGGACATTCTGTTAAATCCAGAACGTCAACATTTTAAAAGTGACAAGTCTAATTTATGCAAAGCTTTATACGAAAGCTGTCACAGCATATCTAATGACAAACTGAAAAAACCTTCAGTGTCATGCAAATATGTACGTAAGCCACTTAATATCATTACATGTATTTTGAAGAAACAGAATGGATCAGCTTTACCTCCCTCCAAATGGTATGAGGTGTCTTGGTATAATGTCAAATAATCATCATGTAATAAAAGTGAGTTTGCTTACGAGGTCATGCTGTGCTTACAATGCCACACACACGCAAAAAATCAAAAGATTAAAGAAACTAGTATTGCATACAGCATCTTTCCTGATGAATTCCTGCAGCATAAATCCAAACAGCAGCTCAGTATCACCTCCCTTCCCACTGCTCCAAATACATTATAATTATTTTTTTAAACTATGACATGAAAATTGTTGCACAAACCAACATTTCATACAGTAAAACTCCCTTTTAAACACATAGCAATTCAGGGGGGAAGGGAACAAGGCACAGTGCAGGGGTAGGCCAGAATGTTACCCATAAGTTTGATTTGATACTGTCATTTTGTGTTGTATATTAACAGTTTAACAGCCTAAAAGTACTCATGAATATTTGTCATACAAAACAATCTACTGTCCACTCTTACCATAATAAGACAGAATTATTTTTGTTTGCCAATTAATAAGTATCTATTTGGCTCATAAGTGGACAAGCAGAATTTTGTAATGCTGATTTACTGGTATCTCAAACAAGGTAATGAAATACAAAAACTACCATAAGCATGAAATGCATAAGACTCCCACATAAGTCTTTACATAAAATACATTTAAATTACCATAAAGATCAAAACAGCTACTCTGAATGGGTATCAGCATCAGATAAAGTCACTTTTGAATAATACAATACATACATGTATAGCCTGGACTATCGTCATATTAGCACAGGCACATATGCAGAAGGTGTAATAGGGGACAATAATCATATTTTAAAAAACTTTTACAAGAACACAGGCCACTGCATAGCTTTGTTTTGTGCCATCTCCCAAATACTGGAATTATAACTAAGCATTCAAAGCAGTAATCGATTACAGTTTAAAGAGCCATCTGCACCTCTTTACCCCAGCAGTCTCCTTTAGGTTTTATTTCTCAGCTATGAATAATTCAACTACCAAAATTGCCATTTTATCTAAGAGTTTATTTCCTAAATGTAATACAGACATAGTACTATCCTGTCAGGATTTTTTTAAATTAATTGTCACTCATAATTTAAAGGGAAATTTTGATTTTTGTTTTAATTGGTTTAAAAAGCAGAATTGTAAACAGCTTAATCAATTTGCAAGTGAGCTCAGCCCTTCTAATGCCAGAACCCCCCACCCATACCCCTACCCCTTCACAGAACATATCTTCACTATTAACTGGGTGAGATAGACACACAGCTCTGCACAGGGAATTGAGAGAGATATTTGGGCAGTAGGATGGATGGAGGATGTGAGTACACACAAATCCTCCCTGCCTCCATCTGCAAGGGTCACCCTGCTGCAGGGACAGATTCACACACACACACACACCAGTGCCTGTGACAGCCTGCCAGCCCCCCAACACACAGTGCTGGACGGACAGCCAGAGACACAGACACACACACAGCAACCCTATACACAGACATGCTGACTGCTGGACAGAGACAGCCAGACACATACCCCCACCCCTCCCCCGGCACACAGCACAGTTGTTGGGCAACACACACACAGCGACTGCCAGACAGACACACACAGCCCCCCCCCACCCAATACACAACAGAGCCACTGCCAGACAGACAGACATACACACACGCTACCCCACACACACACTGGGGCTGCTGGACACACAGATAGACAACTCCCCACTTACACACACGTGCACACAGTGACTGCTGGACACCCACCCAAGTGACTGCCAGACAAACACAACCTCCCCCCCTCCCCACCGCGCACACACAGTGACTGTCGGAAAGAGACACCCACACCCATACACAGAGTGACTGCCGGACAGACACAATCGCCCCCCCACACACACACACACACACACACACACAGTGACTGCCGGACAGACAACCCTCCCCTCCTACCCCCGACACACAGTGACTGCCGGACAGACGTAGACATATATATACACACACAAGCACACATCCCGAGTTACTGTCATAGTCCACACACATACAGCGACTGCCAGACAGACACAACGCCCCCCCCCCAGTGACGGCCGGACACGGACACACACGGGAGGAGGCTGTCGGACAGAGACACCCAGCCCCGCCCCCTGCTCTGCGGGAGGCTCTCGGGCCGCGGTCCCCAACCCCTTAGTGGCAGGAGGCGGCGGCGTCGTAGCCGCTCCCCGCTCCACTCACCCCAGCTGCATCGCTCCCCACCGAGCCCCGCTCAGCAGCGAGGCGGCGGCAGCGCTGCTCACTGAGCGGGGGTGGGGGGAGGGTGGAGTCGCAGAGACCCGGAGGGGGCGGGACATACCACAGCCCCGGCCCCACCCGGCTCATTCACAAAAACCCAAGCCACGCCGAACCGCCAGAGAGCGGAGCCCGCATGCCCCGCGTTGAATGGCCCCACCAAGGGTCAGTCACCTCACGACCCGCCCCCGACTCCACTTCGTCCTCCCCTATTGGTGAGCAGACGGAGCCCCGCCCTCTCATCGCTGCTACCTAATCACAGTGCAGCGTGAACCTTTAAGGGGGCTCAAACGCACCCGCCACTGCAATGAAGACGCCCCACATTGGTGCTCCGACCTGCCCATCAACCTCCTGCCCGGAACCCTCTGCGTTCGCCACTCAGACCAGAGAGAAAAATAGCCGTGCGCGACCCATCCCTTTAAGGACCCAGCGGACGGGAGCAGCCTCAGCAGAATTAAAAGCCGGAAGACAAAAATATCCGCAGCTTTAAAGGGGCCGCGCAGCGGCTGCCTCCGTATAGATGCGGGCACACGTTGCACGGCCCGCGCGGGTCGGGGGAGCTAGGTACTGACCTGTGCGGCGGCAGCAGGCGCTCGGGGTGGTGGCAAGCCACGGGGAGGGCCCGGCGCTGGGCGGACACAGCGGCGCGCGCGCCACCAACGGAATCAGCCCGTGATGGGATCCGCCATTTTGGAATTTTTAGATGGAAAGTCACGTGGTGCGACCATTTTTTCCCTCCGCCAATCAGGAAGCGGCAGCTATTTTTAGCACAACCCCAACCCCCACCCCCGACGAGGCGCGGGGGGGGGGGGAGCGTGGGCAGGGAGCTGGTTGCGTGTGGGGGAGTGATGCGGCGGGTGGGCCTGCGAGCCGTGGGATGGGGCGGCGGGAGCAGGGAGCCATGGGGAGGGGGTGCATATGGGGCAGGGAGCCATGGGGAGGGGGGACAGGAGGGATGGGGCACAATGTAGGGTAGGGAGCTGTGGGGGGGATGGGGCACAATGTGGGGCAGGGAGCTGTGAGGACGGGGGTGCAGAAGGGATGGGGCGCAATGTGGGGCAGGGAGCTGTAGGGAGGGGGGTGTGGCAGGGATGGGGCATAATGTGGGGCAGGGAGCTGTAGGGAGGGGTGTGTGGCAGGTATGGGGTGCAGTATGGGCCAGGGAGCTGTGGGGAAGGGGGTGCAGGAGGGATGGGGCGGTGGGAGCAGGGAGCTGTGGGGGGGGTGAGGGAGGGATGGGGCAGTGGAAGCAGGGAGCCCTGGGGGTCAATGTGGAGGGTGGGGGTGAGGAGAAGCAGGGAGCTGTGGAGGGTGCTGTAAACAGGAAAGTGCAAGCAGGGGCAGGGAACTGTGAAGGGAATTTGGGGCGAAGGGGTAAGGGGAAGTAGGGAGCCGGGAGCTGGAGGGGTGATGCATTTGTTTGGGTGGCAATGGGGGGGGCGCTAAACTGACTAAACCCCATGATCTGCACTACACCCCTGACCCCAAACACAAGGGCCCCAGCTGAAGTACTGTTTGTCATAGGCCCCCCCAGCCCTTTCTCAAACCCATGGCCCCTTTAACTAGTTGCTGACCCAAACCCCATACAGGGTGTTCCAGACCATCAGGACCCAAATTATCTTAGGAGTCAACAAGAGTGGCCCTTTCCCTCACATGTCTCCTGGATGTGACTAGCTAGACAACCTCTCCCATCTGCAGGAGGCTTTCAAAGGTGGGCACGGCTCCTCCTCAATCCTCCAAGGAATGTGTACCAGTATTGCTGACTCTAAGGGTTCATAGATCATGAGCCAAGCCCCCCAAAATCAACTTTTTAAAAAAAAATGTTTGGTCATTTTATGTACCTTCTGATTTCATGTCTTCAGATTTTACACTTTCAAGGTTGTCTCTACAACCACAAGGGCTTGAAACATACTCTTTCTTTAAATGAAAGCTGAGACTGTCACATCACATGACTCCAGGAGCTGAGGCTGTAAGAAAAACACCAAATATCATGACTCTTGATGACACTGTAAGAATTGGCAATGCTGTGGAAAAGTCATTGCTTTTGTCCCACCCTGCTGAAGCTCAGGCAGATCTTGGAAGGCTTTTTTGACAAGATTCTCCTCATAAAAGCAGGGAATCCCTAAAAACAGATAAACTCCACCCACTTGGGTGGGATTTCCCCTCTGCAAAGGAAGACCTGCCTAATTTGGTTTGACTTCCACAAGGAGCCAGAGTCAGATCCACAAATGTATTTAGGCAGAAATCAATGAAAGTTAGGAACCTAAATACCATTATGGATCAGGGCCAAAGAAACTTTGTCCACTAGGAATGGGGTTTTCTCTAGGCAAGGGAAACACCACCTAATGGTATTAGGGATTCCCCCTGAAGCATAGGGAAATCTTGTCCACTAAGGATTGTGTATCCCCATAGGAATGAAAAGGTATCTATCTGGAATAGAGCTTCCCCATGTTCAACCTCAGGAATGGCCAAACTGGCTTGTGAGCCGCTTGCAGCTCTTTTACAGTTAAAGTGCAGCTCACAGAGCCCCCTGTACTCCCTCCCCCCATTCTCCACTTACCAGACTGGGTGGGGGAGCTCAGGGCTTCTGTCCTACAGTGGCGTGGTGGGACTAGGGGCTTCTGCCCTGCATTGGGGAGGGGGGAATCTAAGGGCTTTAACCCCATGGCCCAGCAGGCACCATCCGGTGGGGCAGGTTATGCGTGTCTTGTGGCTCTTGAACTTCTGAAAATTATTGTATGAAGCTCGGAGGTCAGTAAGTTTGGCCACACTTGTTCTCTCTCTTCAAAACGGGCTGAGTCCTAAGCTTATCCAGGAGATCTTCTGGCAGACTCTTTCCCTCCTCCACCTCCATTCACTGGTGGATGGGAGGAAATGCATGTGTGTGGAATAAACATAGCAAGGGCTTTGGATGACTTCACATAGGTTGCAGAGGGGGCAGGGATGAGGGAAGACTGGGGCATGATGGAACATGAAGGAGTGCAGAGTAGGCACATGTGGAATGTAAGTGGGTGTGGAGTGGGGTGTAAATGACAGTAAAGGGAGCCAGAAGACCCTTTGGGCTTTTCTACACTGGCACTTTACAGCGCTGCAACTTTCTCGCTCAGGGGAGTGAAAAAACACCCCCCTGAGCGAAGCAAGTTTCAGCGCTGTAAAGCGCCAGTGTAAACAGTGCTCCAGCGCTGGGAGCCGCGCCTCTCATGGAGGTGGGTGTATTTAGGACTGGTCCACACTAACCCCCCACTTTGAACTAAGATACGCAACTTCAGCTATGTGAATTCACGTAGCTGAAGTTGAACTATCTTAGTTTGAACTTACCGCAGGTCCACACGCGGCAGGCAGGCTCCCCCGTCGACTCCGGTACTCCTTTCACCGAGCAGGAGTACCGGCATCGACGGTCTAGACAAGATGCGATAAATCGATCCCAGAAGATAGATTGCTTACCGCCGGACCCGGAGATAAGTATAGACGTACCCTTAGAGTGCTGGGAGAGCTCCCTCCCAGCGCTCTGCCATGACTACACAAGCCACGTTAAAGCGCCGTTGCCAGTGTAGACTAGCCCTTGGCCTGCAAAGCACAGGGAGCAGTCTGTCCTCCTCTCCACACATTCACATGCTGATTCTGACTAAGTGTGGGAGTGGTGATTGTGCTTTCCCTTTGAATATCTTCTGATCCATTGCCACACGTTGCATCCTTCCTCAGCACCAGGAGCTCATGTCTGTTCACTTCCCCTTTTTTGCACCGGCTGAAACTGCTCTCACTAGAATGCAATAAGAGCGAGAAGCCAAGGAGAGGAGCTGCAGCAGCCAGGAGAAAAGAAGATTCCAGGGCAAAGCATTGTCCATGTTCTATAGTAGTCCTTTTAGTAGAAACTGCTTGGTACCCTGCTGCTCTCATCTGGGCTTCCTCACAGCATGCACCACGCACTTTCTCCCAGTGTTTCCACCTGCTTCAAACTCCCGAGTTTTTATGGGAAAGTTTCTTTCATATCCTCCCAGGCAAGCCATTTGGGGAAATGACATGGAACATTGCAGGTTCTGTTCTGATACAAACATCAAAGTACCACCTCCAGCCCATTTCCTACAAGGAAGTGGAAATAAGGCGTGGAAAAGTTTAAATTTGGATCAAATTTGAATATTAAAATACAAACCCCAAAAAAGAACCAAGCACCAATGGAGAGACTACCATAGCTAATTTTTAAAGTGTTTTATACCCTGAATTTCTTTTAAAAAATAGAACTTCTTGTTTCTGTTCCAATTTTAACAACAGTTAGGAATAAGAGAAGATATAGAAGATTGTCATAGTATATTTAGCCAGTGCAGGTAATGTAAATTTCAGCAAATCTGCAATTACTGATTTTTGGTTGTTGGAATAATGGGGGGAAATGCAAAATATGTTGGACATATACTACCTGTTCAATTATTAGCAGACAATCAGACTGTTAATTCTTTCTGAGGAATTGTCTATATAAGATCCTGCTCTTGAGATGCACTCACCCTTCTGTTTTGCAGCTACTATTGTCTGTAAAAGGGCTGTCATGCACACCTCCTCATGGTATCAAACATCCACTAGAGGGTATAAGAGAAATCCTTATGTGAATTGCCATAAGTAGCAATCAGGAGTCCTCTGTGCCCCTTTTGTTTACCTCCATACTTTCTTGGCAATCATTTAGTGTTTAATTAGATTTTTTACTTTAAACAGTTATTCTAATATATTGTAGGATCTTCACCATCTGTAGTTTTTTGCTTGGCCTGAGGATTTGGTTGGCAGCACTCTCATTTTGCTTGGAGTCATTCAGCACCATATCTGAAACTAATAAAACATGCTTCAAACATTTTATCCTGCAATATTCTTAAGAATATCCATACTGGGGTCAGACCAATGGTCCATGTAAACCAGTGGTTCCCAAACTGGGGTTCGTGAACCCCTGGGGGTTCACGAAATGTTACAGGGGGTTCTCGGAAAAAAATTCCCTAATGGCAGACAGAGCTGTCCCTAGAGACCGCGGGCAGCACGAGGACAGCAGCCCGGAGCCCCTGGACTTCCGAGAGCTAAGCACATCAAAGCAAGCCTATCTATCACATTGAGGAGATTTAAACTTCAAGACTTCTTATAAGAAATGGAAAGGGAGGTGGATTTTTTAAAATTAAATAGTATTGTTTTTAAAATTATTATGAAGAACAAGTTTAAGCTTTGTTGTAATGTGCATTGTTTGCCTAGACTGCTCAAGACCTGAACGCTTGTGTAGGAGGAACTCTGAGTTGGCTTCTTAAATACCTTCAAGCTGTTTCACATCTGATGCTCCTTGATGAAACATAGGAGCCTTATAACAGGCTTATTCAAAGCGATACAAGCTACGAAAGTGAGATCTTGGAAGAGTATTGCTGTTTTCATAATGTAATAAAAATACTGTAATGATAAATAATTATAATAATAAATAGTGTGTAAATAAGCATGTCATAAAAACAAATGTCCAAGATCACTGCTTTTATAATTTATATTCAGGTAAAGGAGAAAATCCCTGGAAATATTAATTTTTAGGAGGGGGTTTGCGACACTTGACATTTTAGTGAAAGGGGTTCACCGGTTGTTAAAGTTTGGGAACCCCTGATGTAGACCAATATTCCATCTTCCTACAGCAGCCGTGCCATGTGCTTCAGAGGGAATAAACAACAGGGCAATTTATCAAGTGATCCGTCCCCTGTCATCCAGGCC